GGGGTTTTCATGGCCCCGCACCCCCCGCTGCGGCCGTTCCGCGGGGCCTGTCCCGCTCCTGCCCCTTCCCGGCGCAGGTGGAGGGAACCACGGCCAGGGTCCCTCGGCCTCCCTGTGCCGGTCGCTTGGCACATCCTCTCGGGCAGCGTTAAATATTTCCCCCCTTTCTTTCGTTTAGTTGTTTTTGTTGTTGTTTGTTTGTTTGTTTTAATGGGGGAGGGGGGTGTTCGTTTGGGTTTTTTATTGTCACGTTTATGTAACAAGTGCCCGCACTGAGGTCGGCGCTGCGTTGCATGCTCGGGGGTGCTGTGTCCGGTGCTGTGTCTCCACATTAAAACCCGTGTCTTTCCGTTAAAGAAGACGGGGGTTAAAAATGAATGAAGATCTGAAGGTTAATTTGAGTTGGCTGCCTCAGGATCATGTAGAAGCCAGCTCTGCCGAGAATGCCTCAGCCACAGGCTCCTCCCTGGTTCCTGTCGTAGACCCAGAGCCAGAGCTTTTGGTAAACCCCTGGGACATTGTCTTGTGTACTTCAGGGACTCTTATCTCCTGCGAAAATGCCGTTGTGGTTCTTATCATTTTCCATAATCCCAGCCTTCGTGCCCCCATGTTCCTCCTGATAGGCAGCCTGGCGCTGGCAGATCTCTTAGCGGGCATTGGATTGATCATCAATTTTGTCTTTGCATACCTTCTGCAATCAGAAGCTACCAAACTGGTCACAATTGGACTGATTGTTGCCTCTTTCTCGGCGTCTGTGGGCAGCTTGCTGGCTATCACTGTTGACCGATACCTCTCCCTGTACTACGCCCTGACTTACAATTCAGAGAGGACTGTCACTTTTACCTATGTCATGCTCATGTTGCTCTGGGGAGCATCCATCTGTATCGGACTGCTGCCTGTCATGGGCTGGAATTGCCTCAGAGACGAATCCACCTGCAGCGTTATCAGACCGCTCACTAAAAATAACGCAGCTGTCCTTTCGGTCTCTTTCTTGCTCATGTTTGCCCTCATGCTGCAGCTCTACATTCAGATCTGTAAAATCGTGATGCGCCATGCCCATCAGATTGCCTTGCAGCACCATTTCCTGGCCACTTCCCACTATGTGACCACCCGAAAAGGAGTGTCTACTTTGGCCATTATTTTGGGGACTTTCGCTGCTTGCTGGATGCCTTTTACACTCTATTCTTTAATAGCAGATTACAGCTATCCTTCTATATACACCTATGCCACTCTCCTGCCAGCCACCTACAATTCCATCATCAATCCTGTAATTTATGCTTTTAGAAACCAGGAGATACAGAAAGCACTTTGGCTCGTCTGTTGTGGCTGTATTCCTTCTAACCTGTCTCAGAGGGCAAGATCACCCAGTGATGTCTGATGGGCAGCTAGCAGGACGCTCCTTAACATGTTACTTTCCAGACATTCTTGCCACACTGTCTTTGGTTTAGATGCATTCATTAAATGGTGTGTGATGGGTTCATCTTAAAACCACAGGATGCACTGACCGTCTTGTAAACAGAAAACCCCAGTGGCCAAAATGAATCCAGTGGTTTAAGGGAGGTTTCCAAAATCTAAACAATCAGTGTTACAGATTTATAACGTTGCTCAGGGTCTTTTTGTTATGTTACCCAGACTTTGCCATGTTTGCTATGATTTTACATTGTTTGCTATTTAAAAATAGATTGAAACAGCATACCTCCTTTGAAACTGTTCATGTGCTTGAGTTCAGTCATAATGCGTTATGTTACAGTCTGTTGTCAGGATAATTTTTCCCTCTTTAATTATTTTTTAAACAAAAAAAAAGAAAGGAAAACCCATGTCCTGTTATCCCATTTATATATCAACTTCAAAATAATGGCCAATTGTATTGGTTTATATGGTATTTATTGTAATAATCTTAGTGAAACAAACTTGCTCTGAGGAAGTACTTGTATAGCTTTTAATTTTAGGTCTCAGCATGAATTAGCTTGATAATTTAAAGGGTTTTGAAGGGTTACCTGTACTCTTTTGAGTTCTGTCTGGATGTGAAAAAAAGATGATATACTTTGCCTTCCTTTTCAAAAGTCAGCCATATGTTTTCACTTGGATATGGGACATCAGAGCTCTTTATACTATTAATTTTAAAAGGAATTTCGGAGGGACTTTCAAAATGGATGAAACATTATGGTCTCTTTTGGCTATGCATTTGTCATAGATGCAGCACGAGGCTTCCCAGATAAGTTTATCTTTTCAGAAGTGAATAAGAAAATATCTAATAAAATAGCCTACAAATTGCTTGCAGCACATATTTAACAGCTACATGAAATGGTTCCCCTTAAGTTTTGTTATTACCAATCTTAGCATTTGTTTCCATTGTTCTGCTGTATCATTTTAAATACTGGTGTTTATAAATTCTCAGAGCATATGTGGTTCATAATTGTGTGCAACCAGAACTGCAACATGAAAAATATTTTCTTCTTTTCTGTTAGTTTTGTCCAGTAGAGATTGTGATTCTTGTGCACTGTGCACATGTCAGTTCTGGTCTAACAAGCAGAGCTTCCTCTCATGAATGGTTACATTTCAAACCACTTCTAACCTTTTGCTGAAGCTGCATTAGAATGTGCTAGAAAGAAAACATTGTTTTCTAATTTGATGACTTCATTGCCAGAGAGAAAAATCTTCCTAGCAGATGTCTTTGAGAAACTTCAGGTGTACCCTAATGTCAGTGCATGGGAGTGCACAGTACCACTTCCATTAGTGTCAGTGGGAGCTCAGTGTCTTAGTGCCCTGGCATCAGCAGGAGGTTGTATTCCCTTGGATGTCAAAGTTGGCAGACTGCATTCAGTATCTTCCATTACAGTTTTAAAAAACCCCAAGAAAATCAAGTGTAAAAATAGCAATATTTACAGTTCAATGAAAAAATATACCTGTATAGTAGAGACAGTAGAGACAACTGTGTTGCTGGTCTGGATTTTTCCAAATGGAATCTGTCCTTTTCACATGGTCATTTGGGTGACTGTACCTTTTGTGGCAAAGTTTCTGTGATATTAAGAATCATATGCTATACACAAAGCTGAATCTCAAATGTGAATGAGTTGTCTGTGAACAAGGCTCTGTAGAGATTTTTATGAGCAATAATTAGTTTTATTTGCAATGCTGGGTTCAAATTCCATTATTTACTTGATTCAGCCGTCATGATATTTGGCTCTTACTTTGTAATCTGATTAGTTTAATAATTGCATGGCATGGTCCAGTAGAGCTGTGAACTTGCAGCTCCCTTGGCTTCACTGCAATTTACAGATGCTCAGCACAGTTAGACCCTGCTCAGTGTAGGATATTGGTGTTATTTATCTACTTCTGAATGCTAATGAAACTCTGGTCATTGCATTTTGTTACGAATTTTTGTATAAGAAATAATCACTTGATAAATATCCATGCTGTGTATGCGTGCAGCTTTGCAAGTATGCAAAGTATTGGGAATAAATGCCAGTAAACATCATAAGCTGAATAATGCACAGAAGCTGAATAATGAAGAATGGCACTTGTAAAAGCAAAAAATTAGTTGAAGTCATGCAAAGTTTGCCCCCCTCCCCACTCTCTCCCCTATTTCTTCTTCTGCATCAAATCCCTAAAGATGAGCAGCTACATCTGTGACCAAAAGTCAGTCCTGAGGGCAGCTGTTGTTTTGCTTGTGCAGACCTGTTCTCATCCTCTTGGATTACCTCACAAGCACTAGTGGTTTTCTCCCCACAACACCTGGGTGGTAGGGAATCCAGAAGGAAGCAGCACAGAGGGAGATAATGCTGTCCCCTCATCTCATGCTGGTTCACTTAGTGTCCTTGTCATCTTCCTCGCTCCACAGGCTGCTCAAATCCGCAGAGGCTCTCCAGAGTGCCAGGGGAGCCGACCTTTTCCTTGTGCCAGAGCGGAGAGATTTGTAATTGGAAGTTCCTCTCCTGAGAAGCCATGCAAGTCAAATGGAGGAAAAGAAGAATTAATTATAGAAGTCCCACAAAGCTAGCAATGTGATTTGCCCTCATTTGAGGAGTAGCGCATGGTTACCTTTCATCACAAACAGATGAGAAAAATTATTATTCCTCCCCAGCTACTGCTGTGACCTCTAGTGAGGATGCTGTCTCTTCCAGAATTATGTTCTTAAATTTGGGCTGTTCAGCATAGGCCAGAAAACCCTTCTGGAATGACATAGGTTTTCCCAGAGCTGTCAGGCAAAACTCCATCACGGTTTGCAGTACTGGGGAGATGCTGTGTAACACACCTATGAATGACCTCTTGGGAGGAAGGGCAGAGCTATGGGTGCAAAGCTGCTTACCTCGCTTGCACAAATGTGGTGCTTGACAGGCAGCCACTTTTCAGACCTTGCAGAATTAAGCAACTCTCTGCTCTCACCTCAGAGTTACAGTGTAGGCCCTGGTTCTGCACAGTGAGGTGCCAGTAGCAATCCGGGGTGTCTCTGAAACAGGCAGAAATCTAGCCAGCTTGTAATTTTGGTGTTCCATCAAACAAGACCCAGGCATATGACCAGGGGTGTTAAGATTCACCATTCTATGTACAGTCAAGTGTCTTTTATATCTCCATTGTAATGACAAAACTTTTTTTTTTTCCACATAATTTAAAGAATTGAAGTTCATTTTTATTTATTAACATGCTTGACCTAAAGTTAGTAACAGGTTGTATACTGATGGGCAAAATTTCCTGTAGGTAGTTTTTTTTCATATATTCTTCCTCAAAGCTTGAGGGAGGACTTTTCTAATTGTCTTTTTTTTTTTCTTTTTTTTTTTTACCATTTCTCCTAACAGTAAGATTTCAGCAATAAGGGGAAATACATTTTCAGCCAAGAGCAATAAAATCCTCTGTGTTGCAGGTACTATAAACCACTGAGTAAACTCAGTGCAATAGAGAGGAAGCAATATATTCTTTGGACAAGAAATAGTAACTTGCATGAGGACTTTAAAGAAGCAGAAGTTTTCCTTTGTTAAGAAGTTGCTACTGAACTGATGTGGAAAGTTATTTCTGGTTGGTTTGTGTTACAATTATTGAGTTCCTGCATAAAATTACTCAGCAATAACCTTTTATCTTAGTTCTTGGATCCTGAATTCATACTGCTTGCAAGAGAGGATTATGTATTGCAGTGGGCATTTTTTTTCTTGTTTGGCATTTAGTTGTACAGCATTCTATGGATAAACTCACTGTGCTCAGAATTTCTGATTGCAACTTGATACTGAGAGTACTCTTCACTAAACAAAACTGAGAATACCTGAATTTGTTACGCTCATCAAGATGGATTTGAAAAATGGTGCTAGTCCATTCTGACTACAGCGTGGCTTTTAAAAGAACATGGTTCTGGTATCATTGAAGAAAACCCTTGCCAATGGTCAGGGTATTTGAAAGCAAGCTGAAAGGCCTGCTGTGGCTGCTGTACCTCCTTACCATGGACTGACTCTCAGTGACATAAGCAGCTTCGTCCATCCTCCATGCTCAGTGGCCAGCCTTGGAGTCACTGAAGCCCCTCCAAGGAGAGCAGTGAGCTTTGGCTTAGACTAGACCTCTTTGGTCCCCAACGAGGTATCTTCTGTTGTCTCATTATCTTAGGGATTGTTTAGCTTTTAAAAATAAGATGTTTGTGGATTCATTTCTCAAAAGAAAAACGTAACCTGCAGTGTGACTGGCAGTTGGGATGAAGTATCATTACTACAAATCAAGCACCTGAAATGTAACTACGTGCTCTCATTACTTAAAAAATATAGTTCTGTAACGTTCAGAAACGTATTTTCAAAATGTTGGTCCTTTTAAGAAGAGCAAATATGTATGGTCTGACTTTGTATGTACAATAAAGAAATTGGACAGAGTGGTCACAATTTCAAAAATCATCAGCTATTCTGTCACATAATCTGATACTAAGTGGTTCTTAGTCCTTGAAACAGAAACCATGCTGGCAACTTCATAGAAATTCCTCAATACCCACAAGTCAGTGTAAAAGCTTTGTAGCGAAAGTGGGAGGATTAGCATGGTTGCCAGCGCAAAGCAATCTGATGTAGCAGCCCCGTTGTGAGTGGGAGTAAGAACAGTACACCTGCACACCAGTTGTAGACAGATCAAGTCCTAGGTGTGCAGGAGTAGCAGCAGAAAAAGGTGAACGATTCAAAGGATTTCTTTAAACTGTTGTGCTGCAAGCTCTCACTGGATCTTTTGTTCTAAGAATTCAATAATATTTTTAAGTGCTACTGGCCCACTATTCAGGAAAGGGTATCATGGTGGTGAACTTTTTGAGGAGGATCGAGAACACAGCTAGATTTATGAAACAGGTAATTAAAGATAATGTTAAATATCTACACATAGACTGATCACATTTCTTTGGGAGAAGATCTGAGAGTCAGAATC